CTCCTATGTATTTCATGCAGTGACACCATTTATGATGTTGAGAAAATGTATTTGCAATAAGTTGTTGGCCTGTCAAATTTTTATAATGTGAACTTTGGTGTTATTTCTACCACCAAGGCTGTTTTCCAGCTACCATCCTTGTTTCTAAATTTTGCATTCCAATCATCAGTAGTTATCAATGCATCTTGATTGCATATTTAATTGATTAGACTTCAGAACTTCATAAAAATCTTTAATTTCTTCAATTATGGCATTAGTGGATGGTGCATAAATCTTAATAATGTTTGTATTAACTGGTCTTCCTTGTGGGTGCATGCATATAGTTCTATCACTGACAGTATTATACTTCAAGACAGATCTTGATATGTTCTGTTGGATGATGAATGTAATGTCATTCCTCTTCAACTTGTCATTACCAGCATAGTAACCCAAATGTTTGTCCAATTCAAAATGGTCCATGTCAGCTTACTAATGTCTGTAGTACAGTGATTTACTTGATATGGCTCTTCTAGCAACAGTCTTTGTAATTCCCACAAAATGACTTGGTAGAACCATTTAAATTGGGTGTATAGAACTCTTAACATAGGGATTGGTCAATTTTGTCATCCCATTAGGTTTTTAAATAAGCCATCTCAGAAACAGGAAGGGGATCTCACCACCACCAAGAAAGAAGAGTCAGAAGTGGGGGCTGCATGATGAAATGTCTTGATCAAGGAGATAGAGAGCTGTCACACCAGAAGAGTTGCAGAGAAGCAGCAGCATCAGAGGCGGCAGGACCAAAAGCATGAGTCAAAACAGTGGGCTTCCTGGACCACAGAATGAGAAAACTGTTGCCTTCATGCCGGAGATTTGCTTGTGGAGTGGTTTGCCTCCAGGCACTTAATTGAGGAAGCCAGGTTTGCACACCTGTTGGGAGCAGCTAGGCCAAAGGTCCTGACTTGGGGGTAGCTCAACCGAAGGATTGCAACTGAACAGTTGTGGTCCAGAAACTCGGGCTGCTTCCAGGTCAAGCCCCACCCCTGAGGAACTTGCAGGGCTGCCTCAGAGGACAGGGAATTTGCAAGGTCTTTCTTTGTATTTAGCTATGTCCTTCGACTCAGCCTGCCCAACATTCTAGCCACCCTATCTCTGTTTTCCTAGAAACCACATTCTTCTGATAAAGTCCCACTTACTGCATGCATCAAAACACCAGATGTTATTCTTTTCCCTGCCCCCAAGCACCTCCCTTTGAGCTGTGTATAAAATAAACTCGCTGCTTTGGTCCATGTCACAGTATCTCCATCAGAGTGCTGTGGCCCACCTGGTCCCAACTTTGCTATTATTTCACTTGTGTCTTATGTCTTCCTTTTATTTCTAATCTCCCATTGCCCCTGTTGTTGTTGTTATGTGCTGTGGAGTCAGTTTTGACTCACAGCGACCCTGTACAAGGTTTCTGAGGCTGTAAATCTTTATGGGAGCAGAAAGCCTCATCTTTCTCCCACAGAACAGCTGGTAGTTTCGAATTGCTGACCTTGTGGTTTGCAGCCCGATTTGTAACCACTATACTACCATCGCCCCTACTCAGGTTTAATCTGTCCATGTGGTTCGCAAAGTATAGCCAATTGTCCAACACGATGGTTGGCCCCAGTGGTTGGTGCCCAGCGTGGGGCCTGAGTACAGGGAAACTCTTAAGCCAGAGATGAGGAGATACTCTGAGGTGTGCACATTCAGATAAGGTTCAGAGTGAGTTAGAACCAAGTGTAAAACATGGAACATTTAGGGTCAAAGGACCACCATTTGTTTGTAGATATGCTTAAAGCCCAATTGAGGGCCAGAGGAACTCCTATTAAAGGTGTTCAGCTTGCTCAATTTTTAGACTGTGTACAGGAGACCTGTCCCTGGTTCCCAAAGGAAGGGACTGTAAATATGGATACGTGAGAGAAGGCCAGAAAGCAGTTCTGTGCTCAGTATTCTGCTGAAGTGCCTGATAAGATACCACTTTTTACATTTTTCTCTTTGGACGTTTCTACCACTGAAGCAACTGCTGTCAGCACAAAACTAACAGTACTAGGCTTAATGCCAAAAGTGAGGGAGTGGATTTTTTGTGCTCTGCCTGTCTTGTCTCCAGTTCAGAAGGCCTTGAGAGAAGCAAGGATAGTGGGAAAGAAAAGTTATCAGTCTCTGTGATTTTAACTTCTAACAGGCATCTGCAGAGAGAATTATGTAGGTTAGTTGCCACCCTCAGAATAATTAATCAAACTAGCATAAACCTAAAAGATCTTGGGGGAGCAGGACAAAAGGCGCATTAAATTTATGTTCAGGTCCCCTAAGTACTGGTTACAGAACCAGTCAATATCTCATATGCAAAGAGACATTATATTGTAAAATGTGTTTCATGCAACCCTTACCCAACCTTTAATCTTGAGTTTGCACTTGACCGTACAATCAGTCCCATCCATTTCAATCTTAGAATGAGATCCTGTGTTGATAGATCCAGTTTTCTCCAAGTTCCATCCTGGTTAATGGGCTGAATTGTTGTTGTTGTTGTTGTTGTTGTTGTTGTTAGGTGCCATCTAGTTGGTACTGACTCATAGTGACCTTATGCACAGCAGAACAAAACACTGCCAGGTCCTGCGACATCCTCATGTTTCTTGTTATGTTTAAGCCACTATGTCAATCCATCTCATTGAAGGTCTTCCTTTTTTTCACTGACCTTCCATTTTGCCAAGCATGATGTGCTTCTCCATGGACTGGTCCATCCTGTCAACCTGTCTAAAATATGAGAGAAGCCATCCTGCCTTCTAAGGAGCATTCTGACTGTACTTCTTCCAACACAGATAGATTTGTTCTTCTGGCAGTGCACAATACTCTTAATATTCTTCAACAACACCATAATTCAAATGCATCAATCCTTCTACAGTCTTCTTTATTCATTGTCCAACTTTCACATAGAGTCCTGGTGTGGTGCTATAGGACAAACACTGGGTCACAAGATTGGTTTGAACCATAAGGTCAGTGGTTCAAACTCACCAGTTGCTCCTTGGAAACTATACTGACTCAATGGCACTTATAGCAATAACCAACAGCTTTAACATGCATATGAGGCATGCTTCAGTCCTCAAGGTGATATCTTTGCTCTTTATCATTTTAAAGAGATCTTTTGCAGCATATTTGATCAATGTAATACATCATTTGACTTCTTGACTGCTGTTTCCATGAACATTGATTGTGGATTTAAATAAAATGAAGTCTTTGACATCTTCAGTATTTTTGTCACTTATCATAATGCTACTTATCGGTCCAGTTTTTCAAGTCTTCTTCACTTCTAGCAAGCAAGATTGTGCTGACCATATATCATAGGTTGTTAATGAGCCTTTCTCCAATCCTGATGCCATGTTCTTCTTCATATAATCCAGTTTCTTGGATTATTTGCTCAGCATACAGATTGAATAAATATGGTGAAAGAATACAACCCTGGCATACACCTTCCCTGATTTGAAACCACTCAAAACCTCCTTGTTCTGTTTGAATGAATGTCTCTTGGTCATTGTACAGGCTCCTCATGAACACAATTAGTGTTCTGGAATATCATTCTTTGCATAGTTTTTTATGATCCACACAGTTGAATGCCTTTGCATAGTCAATAAAACACAAGTAAGCATGTTTCTAGTATTCTCCACCTGATGTTAGCAATGATAGTCCCTATTCTGCTAGGTATCTAGTGCTACTATTATAGAAATACCATAAATGGGTGGCTTTAACAAACATAAATTTGCTTTCTTACAGTTTGTTGTTATTAATGTTGAGTCAGTTCTGACTCATGTTGTTGTTGTTGTTGTACCTTGGAGTTGGTTCCGACTCATAGTGACCCTTCACAGGATTTCTGAGGCTGTAAATCTTTATGGGAACAGAAAGTCTCATCTTTCTCCTGTGGAACCGCTGGTAGTTTCAAACTGCTAACCTTGAGGTTAGCCACCCAACTCGTAACCACATAGGAAACTAGAAATCAGAATTAAGGGTGTTGACTCTAAGGGAAGGCTTTCTCTATCCATAAGCTCTGGAAGAAGGACCTTCTCTCCTTGAGCTTCTCTGTTCCTGAGTGATCTTCATCTCTCTTCTTCTATCTTTGCTTGCTTATTGGCTCATCTTTTATCTTGCAAGAGATTGACTCAAAACACAGCCAACACTAACCCTGCCTCATTAACATAACAAAGACAACTCATTTCTGAATGGGATTACAACCACAGGTATAGAGGTTAGGATTTAAAACACATATTTTGGGGGCACAGAATTCATTCCATAGTAAATACCAGCTTAATTTAAATAGCATGCAAAACTTTGTTGCAATACAGTAAACTCCCTTTGTAATAACAAATAAACTTTTTCAAAGTCAATCAACATTTTCTTTCCTTTTCTTTTCCTTCAGCTGAATTTATCCATGGATTTGACTGTGTAGAATGGAATCCAAGGCATGAATCCTTCTCCTCTGGACATATCAATCTGATGAATAGTTGTTTGGGACCTGGGGAGTGGCTCAGACAAACCTTCAGATGGACTTTAAGGGACTCTGCACCACCGAAGCTGGCACCAGACTTTGAGTGCACACTTGATACTGTCTTACATAAAGTTCACCTCAAACAACCTGCACCCCACCCTGTCCACCCAGCACAAAGGAGAAGCAAGTTCCCACCCCACACTCTGGCCTATTGGTAGTGGAATTCCCCAGCATGCTATGCTCACTGGAACTGGGACCTGTGCCAACAGCCACTAGTGTTGACAGAGCCCAGGCCTGTCCTTATGTGGGGGAAGGGGGAATAATCAGGACTTCTAAGAGGCAACCGCTCCAGAAAGTGCCCTTTGAAATGATGGCAAATGTCAGCTAATAATAAACTAATCATCTGATCAAAGGAAAAGAGAGGAGTCATTGGCTGGAGAGTCACCCTCCTTCTTTGCTGTGTGTTATAAAATCTCTGCCTTTCCACAGGTCCTTACTGCAAGTTGGCACAGGAACAGAAGGTGCCATGGCTGTCCTGGGTATCACCGTTGCCCTGCTAGTGTGGGTGGCCACCCTCCTGCTCATCTCCATTTGGAAGCATATCCATAGCAGCTGGAAACTGCCCCCTGGCCCTTTCCCACTTCCCATCATTGGGAATCTTCTCCAGCTAGAACCTAAGAATATTCCTAAATCCTTCACCAAGGTAAGAGAGGTATTATTGGTTTAGAGAAGAATTCAGGAGTTATGTATCTAACTCACTGTCAGTCAAGTTGTTATTGTTGAATAGCAACCTGCTATGAATGAACTGCACTGATACAGTAGTATCCAGGGTTGAGGATCACAATATTCGTCTCACAGGACAGATGGGCACTCAACATTCAGAATGAGTTGTGGCCTTTGCACAGCCCTGGGTACTCCCTTGTGTGTGTGCTATTTGCTACCTGGCATGAAAGGATTACAGTGTTTTCAGACCAAGTATACACTGACTGGGTGTCAACTTCAAGCTGTTTGTAAAATGCCTAAACAACAGACTAAAAAGTAAAGTGTCTAAGCCATGTGGTGTCCTGGTAACAAAAGCCTTCTAGGGTTGTTGATAAGATAGAATGAGTTAATAAATTTAAGGGATAGATAAGTTGGAAAATCCATTCACAATATTAATAAAGGAAGCTGCCAGGCACAGCATTGGCCTCAGTAAGTGTCTGCTCCACAGGGTGTGTATATAGTATGTTGAAAGTACAAGAAAGACTGAGCTGGCAGAGGGTGAAGGTGCTGACTCCAATTTCTGCTGCTGCACCGAGTCCTAGGCCTGGGTGAGGATGAAAGGAGAGGATAGTGGAGAGGGTCAAGGATTCAGGATCCATGGAGTTGCTTATATTCAGGAGGAAATCATGGTCAGGTGAAACCTGAGCTTTATGTCTTGTCTAATGAAGTCACAAGACAGAGTTGTACAAGATACAGCTTCTTGGGGTGGGTGGGGGGAGGAGGTGGGACAAGAAGGCACTCTAGAGAGGCACCGATTGGTCTTGTCTAATAAAATCACAGGACAGAGTTGTACAAGTGTGTTGCACAATAGCACAAAATGCCAGTAATAGCAACATTTTGAAAGGGACAAAACAAGAAAACAAGTCCTCTGCCATCTAGTCGAATCCAACTCATAGGGTTTCCAAGACTGTAACTATTTAAGGGAGCAAACAACCTCATATTTCTCCCTCAGAAACGCTGGTGGGTTTGAACCACTACAGTTAGCAGTGCAATGCTTATCTCACAGCACCACCAGGGTCCCTTTTGAAAGGGACAAACACCTGAAAACATCACCTTCACAAATAGCCATTTTCTGTTTTCTAAGACAATAAGAAGTGGCTTTAGAATGTTCATGGGGAAATTCTATTATCTTTTATTTCCATTTTGCCACGGATTTTTTGAAGCACCCTCAGATTTTTTTTCACAAATTTAATTTTCAAAATCAATGTCTTAAAATCTATTTTTAAACAAAAGAAATGCACATGTTTTTAAAACGGCTTCTTTGTGGGTGGGAGCGAGGAGGGGTAGCGGTGGAGCTGGACCGCAGTTGGATTGACCTTCCAGAGCATCTGCATCTGAGCCAGTGTCGGAGGTAGGAGGGTCCATGTGGCCCAAGCGTGAACCCTGAGTCGGGGCACCAGACCCCTAGGCTCGGTATACTCCCTGCAAACCCGGGCCCCTCGTTGGGGATGTGGTTCCCCAGACTGCGTTGGACAGAGACCAGGACTGTCCCCACAGCTCTGGGTTCTCTTGGTCAACAGCAGTAACTTTGCGAGGATGTGTTTAAAGTACTGACCGTTCTGCGTCCTGTGTTCCCAGCTTGCAGAGCGGTATGGGCCTGTGTTTACGGTGTACCTGGGCAACCGGCGCATCGTCGTCACACATGGCTACAAGGCGGTTAGAGAGGTCCTGCTCCAGTACAAGAATGAGTTTTCCGGACGTGGAGACATCGCTGCGTTCCACGCCCACAAGGACCGAGGTGAATCTAGTCCCTCAGCTCCCTGCATACTGATCAAAAGCAGGTCCTCAGACCAGAGGCGTATCTAAATTTTAGCAGGTATGGTATTGCCTGGGAGGCGCTGGAGGGGCCGGATGCCACCGGGCAGCTCCTACTGACCATAGGAGTTTCCATCAGTGTGTTGCTTCATCCTTGATGATGCAAATGTGCAATACTGGACATATGGTGCTATGAACTGCACCATTTCAGTAAATCCATGAAATGCTGGAAGAGAACCTAACCTTCTCGCCTTGCCTGGGAGCTCTCTCTCTTCTCCTTCCTCCTACCCTTTCTGAAAACATTTGTAAATTCCCTGACCCTCTTCATCTCTTCCCCCTTCCAACCTCCTTATCTCTCTTCGTTTGTTTACCACACCTCTGGGCAACTGCCTCCATCAGGGGTGCCGCTCTGCACCCCTCCTGATTTCTCTAACTGATGATTCCATCCTTCCCAAACACACTCTCCCTGGATTCCAAGCTTTGAGCTCTCCTGGCTCCTCTTCGTACAACTTGTGTCAGTGCTTCCTCCCCCAGAATTTTGAGCACTGGAGGCCCAGCCTCAGTCCAGTTCTGCTCCCAGGCCACCCTTTATCTGCATTTGTCTGATTGGTTCTCCCTCCACACCTACAAGCCACTGAGAATGTCTTAATCCAGCTTTGGTGTCTCTGAGAAGTTGATCTAAGATGACTGGCTCCTTGCTCTCCTTTCTTCCCCTAGGAATCATTTTTAATAATGGGCCCACCTGGAAAGATACCCGGCGCTTTTCCCTGACCACCCTGAGGGACTATGGGATGGGGAAGCAAGGCAATGAACAGCGGATCCAGAAGGAGGCCCATTTCCTGCTGGAGGAACTCAGGAAGACTCAAGGTATGTATCCCACCTGGACAGGGGATACCAAAGGAAACCGGGAGAGAGGAACCTGGCCCCATCCAATCTGGTACAGTGTACACATGCAGGGAAGTGACCAAGCCCTGGAGACAGAGGGCCCATTTGTAAGGAAGAGTCTATCTGTCTGGGATAGCATACCCATTCTGACACCTCCAGACAGCATCTGGACCATCTGAAACTATGGGCAGTTCATGGGGCCATGTATAGAATAACTTGAGTTCCTTATTCTACATTTTAGGTAGAGAAGGTGTGGCTATCAAGAGAGTACTTTCTGTGCTCTGTATGAAACCATTGTTGGTTAAGTGACGTTCAGTCAGTTCTGACACATAGTAAGCCTGCACAAGGGTTCCGAGGAGTGAATGTTGAGTTTGAACTGCCAGCAATGCTTATCCTATAGTACGACACCAGAGCTCTAAATGAATTCATTATCTTATGTGAATCATTATAATTCCCAGTAATGATTCACGTAAGGTAATGGATTTATTTAGAATACATCAGTGAAAACAGGCGTTGGTCACTCTGTGGCAGGAGACACCCATCCCGTGGCCATCGTATGAGCAGTTCACATACTCAAGTCTCGTGTGTACAGTTCTGACAACCCTGTCTTCCAGGTCAGCCTTTTGACCCCACCTTCCTTATCGGTGGCGGGCCCTGCAATGTCATCGCTGACATCCTTTTCTGTAAGCACTTTGACTACAGCGACAAGACATGTCTGAGACTGATGAACATGTTCAACGAGAACTTCTACCTGCTGAGCACCCCCTGGCTCCAGGTGCAGACCCTCATTTCCACTAATTTGTCCCAAATTTTGCTGTATAGTTTCCAATAGGATGTGGGAAAATGGGAAACACATATTATGAAGTGTTGTTGTTTGTTGTTATGTGCCGTGGAGTTGGTTCCACTCATAGCGACCCTGTACAGGGTTTCTGAGGTTGTAAATCTTTACGGGAGCAGAAAGCCTCATCTTTCTTCTGCGGAACTGCTGGTAGCTTCGAACCGCTGACTATGAGATTAGCAGCCCGATTCGTAACCACTACACTACCAGAGCTCCTTGAGGGACACCTAGAAGAACAGGAGCATGTCCATGTTGGGGCACCTGACAAGAGGCCCCAATAGTCTTCCTAGAGGCAGTCCCTTTGTTAGCCTCAGGACAGTCATCATTTGCCATTTAAGGGTGGTGTGTCCTTGAGACTGATGTTCAGGTAAGGATGATGATCATGTTTCCACCACAGAATGCCACCTCTGAAATCAATACCACCCTAAGTATATATTCTAAATGAAATGATCACAATGGTCATAGAGTCAAGTATCAGCCCAGTCAGAATGTAAAATTAGATTGTATCTGTAAAAAAAAAAAAAAATTAATTAGTTAAAATCACTCTGTCTCTCTTTAGGTTTACAATTATTATTCACAATATATGAAATACCTGCCTGGGAGCCACAGGAGAGTCATGAAGAATGTATCTGAGATAAAGCAGTACGCACTGGAGCAAGTGAAGGAACACCATGCATCACTGGACCCTAACTGCCCCCGGAATTTCACCGACTGCCTGCTCATTGAGATGGAAAAGGTGCCCCCCCAACCCTGGGTAGCGTGTCTGGGTCAGAGTCCCAAATGAGGCTGAAAGTGGGGGCTGACAAGTGTTTTCCTACTCATGCCACACTCCTACACATCTGGTGTCATGGTCACATTTTGATGCTTATGGTCTCACCCTAGCACAGGTAGCTCTAGTTGGGTGCGTCTTGCTGCGCACACCAGTCAGACACAGAACTTGAGCAGCTTCAAACACCACAGCACCCCAAACTTCCAGCCAAAGGTGGGCATGTGCTCCCTCGAAGCAGCCCACCCCAGGCTGTGGTCTGTGTCACCTTTGGGTCAATGGCTTTAACCACCTGCATCTTGCCCATGGAGGTCCTCAGTTTTCCTTTTCAGAACATAGATCCCATATTATGTGATATTTGAAGGGGTCCTGGGCCTGTACCACATAATCTACCTGACAGCCCTCATGTCTCCTCTTGATGATAGCAAAGCCAACCAAATCCAGAGCCATCACGTTGATTCCAACTCAGAGCAGCACTGGAACAAGCCTATAGGACAGAGCAGGACTGCTCCTGAGTGTTTCTGAGACTGTCAGCCTTCACAGGAAGACACAGCCTCACCTTTCTGCTAACAATGGTTAACCCACTGTGTCACCAGGTCTGCTGTCCTCTTAGCCATGTGTGAAATCCACACCCTGATTTCCCCAGAGAACTGCCCTGGTGTCCAGGAATCCTCCTCTATCATTGGAGTGTCCAGATTCCAGAGTGACTTCCTGGATCTATAGCATGTACTGACTAGCCAGACAGGCCTTTGGACTATGAGGCACTGGCCTCAGGGATAGAGAGTCCTTAAAGCAACTGCTACAATGCAGTGGCTGCTAGCCAAGACTCCTCACCACAGTCACCATTATAAATTCCATGAGTGAAAAAACATTCATCCACCAGCTCCTGATTTTCTGGAAAGCACCGAGGTCACCTTTGACTTGGGACAGGGTTGGGAGGGGCTTACAGCATCCTTGGACCAAAGGGTCTCACTGGCAGCTTCGGAGCTGGTGGAGGAATGCATGGAGTCTTAGGGTGGAGCTGAGTCCTGCCCCTGAGGAGTTTCCTGGGAGCCTCAGTTTCCCTAACAGTGACATGGAGATGATACTGTCTCTACAGGCTCCAAATCATGTTTTACCTAGTGATCTCATAAAGCAGTGGGTGTCGGCTAGCCCACAGCAACTATTCGGTAAAAACAGTTTCTTTCTCTGTAGAGTGAGGAGGGCCAGCACATTCTCATTTACTAAGGAAGGAGAGCTGCCTTCTTGACATCCATCTGGAGACATCCTGTTTTCAAGTCCCTGTCTGTCTCTGGCAATGCAGGAAAAACAAAGTTCGGAGCCTGGATACACACTGGACGACATTGCCGTGACTGTGGCTGACCTATTCTTTGCAGGGACAGAGACTACCAGCACCACCCTGAGATATGGGCTCCTGATACTCATGAAGTACCCAGAGATCGAAGGTGTGTTGATGATGGGTCAGGAGTATTCCTTCGGGTCATAGGCATACAGGGAACACTAGCACTGGGCCAAGTCTGTACCCACAGGTCACAGGGGATGTCAACACCAGGTCATACCTGTGCCCGAGGGTCATGGGATGAAGCACTTTGAGGGGAAACAGTCTGTAAACATGCCCATTGTTGTTGTTGTTGTTGTTACTAAATGCTGTCCAGTAGGTTCTAACTCATAAGAACCCTGTATAGAGTTTACAAGGAGCGACTGGTAGGTTTGAACTGCTGACGTTGCAGTTAGCGTTCCAGTGCTTATCCTGTAGCACCATACTGTTATTCTACTGTGGACATGTCAAAATAATCACTGTAGAAAGAAAAGCCTTCTGCCCTCCCTTCTCAGGGATCACACAGCACAGCTCAGAGTGAGAAACATTAACTTCTACTCTGTAATATCACCTACTTATGGCAGTGTAAACCTTTACCCAATTCACAACAAAATGCAGATAGATACATAGATAGACAGACAGACAGACAGACAGACAGACAGATAGATAGATAGATAGACATAGGTATATGGAGTCCTGGTATGGCACTGCAGGATAAGCACAGGACCACAAGGTCAGTTTGAACCACAAGGTTGGTGGTTCAAACCCACCAACTGTTCCTCAGAAACCCTACCTGGGGTTGCTATGAGTCGGAACTGATTCGACAGCACTTAACAGCAACATGGCAGTGAAGACATGTTCCTGTTGCCTCTGAGTTAAGCCGACCTCTCAGCAGAGGAGGCACAGAGCACAGCTAAAACCAGAAAGCAGGAATCTGGACATTCACAGAGGTAGACCTTTTACAGGTCTGTGGCATGAGAAATATTGGTTGTTCGGTAATAAGTGAACAATTGTTGTTGCTGTATGCTGTCAAGACGATTCCAGGTCATATTGATTCTGTATAGGGTTTCCACAAAGTGGCTGGTGGACTTGAACTACTGACCTTGCAATTAGCAGTCCAATGTTTATCCTACAGGAAAACAATAAATGTGAAAAAAAAAATTCTAACATGTTACTGTGTTTCATGTGAAAGTTTACACAGCAAATTCGTTTTCCATTCAGCCATTTATATACAAATTGTTCTATGTCATTGGTTGCTCTCCTCACAATAGGTCAGTGCTCTGCATTTCCACCCCACCTTCCCCATTTGCATACCTCTCCTTGCTGTCTCTTCTTGCCTTCAAACAAATGTTCCCTGTTTGGTCTCAAACCACTGATTGTTCTAAGGTTCACATTTCTCATAGGTGGTAGTGTTTGTTTTACATGTAAATCTAGTATATGGTGATAATTGTCTTCTGAGAGCTCTAGGTTAAAAGGGTATTTTAAGGCAATATTCTTGGGATTCCTCCAGTCTCCGTCCAGTAAGTCTGGTCTTTTTTGTGAATTTGTTTTCTTCTCTATTTCTCTTCCATTCTAACTGGGACCTTCCATTGTGTCGCTGATCAGAGTGGTCAGTAGTGGTAGCTGGCCACCATCTAGTTCTTTAGGTCTCAGGCTAGTGGAGGCTGTGCTTTGTGAGGGCCATTAGTCCTGTGGACTAATTGCTTCCTTGGACCTCTGTTCCCTTTACTGCCCTTTGTTCCATATGAGAAGAAACTAATAGTTCTAGCTTAGATGGCTATTTGAAAGCTTTTATGACCAAGACTACTCACCAAACTGGGATGTATAGAGCATTATCTTTATGGATTATTATAGGCCACTTGATCTACATGTCCCCTGAGACTATGGTCCTTAGCCCTCAAGCCCATTAATACAGACCCATGAAGCATTTGAATATTTCTAAAAAGTTTCCATAACTGAACCTCCTATGTGCTCTATTACATATATGAATAAACCAGCAGCACATATAAATATGCATGAGGGGGCTGATAAAGTTCACGGGAAAATTCTATTAGCTGCTAATTCCATTTTCCCATGAATTTTTTAAAGCCCCCTTGCATACACAAATGCTCACAACACATGTATGCATGCCCCTATACTCCTATGTGCCTTCCCACACCTATATAGCATACATATCTACCTTTTTACTCACTCACCACTCACAAATTTTGGTTGGTATTACTGCTGCTGAAAAATTGTATATTCTCTAGCATTTACTATTGCTGTTGTTGTCAAGTATAGTTGAATTAGTTCCTACTCAAAGCAACCATGTATAGAGTTTCTGAGGAGCAGTTGGTGGGTTTGAACCACTGATTTTGTAGTTAGCAGTCCAGTGTTGATCTTATAGCACCACACCAGGACTCCAGCTTTTACTATTGTTGTTGTTAAGTGCTGTCAAGTCAGTTATGACTCATAGTGACCCTACATCGGGTTTGCAAGGAGCAGTTGGTAGATTTGAACTTCTGAACTGGTGGTTTGAAATCCAGTGCTAATCCTACAGTGCCACACCAGGAGTCCAGCTTTTACTGTTGTTGTGCTATTGTAAAGTGCCGTCAAGTTGGTTCCAACCCATAGCAACCCTGTATAGGGTTTCTGAGGAGCAACTAGTGAGCTTGAACCACTGACCTTGGGTTCAAAGTGACTTTGCAGTCCAGCACATTATCCCAAAGCACCACACCAGGACTCCAGTTTTTACTGTAGTTATTCTTTATTCTCGAGTAGCTCTCAGTGTCTTCATTTACCTTGGCCATGTTGTGCTCACTTCCCCCATATTGTGAATTGTCTTTCCCTTCATAAGACTTCTGTGTGTCTGGTGTGGCATTATAGGATCAGCACTGGACTATGAACCTCAAGGTCGGCATTTCAAACCCACCAGCTGCTCTTCAGAAACACTGTATGGGCTCACTATGAGTCAGAACTGACTTGATAGCATTTAGCAACAACTATCTAGTAAGCAATTTTTCCACTCTCCCATTCCTGGTAACCACCAAAGAATTTAAGTAGGGAAACCTATTCTTGACTTTAAACAAATGTTGTACAGTAGATATCCTTTTGTGACTTACATACCACTCAGCATAATGTCATCCAGATTCATTCATGTTATGTTTCTCGGACTCATAATTCTTTATCATTACATAGTATGCCATTGTATGTAACCACCACAGATTATCCATTCATACATTGATGAATAGTCAGAAGTAGACATATATACATCCATGTTCATTGCAACCTTATTCACAATAGCAAAAATCTCTAGAATATATTTGTAGGAGTAGTATTGCTAGAACATATGATGTTTGTATTCCTAGCTGTTGTGGAAGCACCATATTGTTTTCCATATTGGTTGTATCATTTCACAATTCCACTATCTGTGTGAGTCCCAAGCTCCCTCACAACTTTACCAGCATTTGTTGTTTTGCTTTTTTTCCATCGGTGACATTTTTGTAGGGATGAGATAATATCTCATTGTAGTTTTGATTTGCATCTCTTGATGGATTGGCCAAGTGGCAGCATCGATGGACTCAAGTGTGGCAACAGTAGTGAGGTTGCCCCAAGATCGGGCAGTATTTTGTTCTGCTGTGCATAAGGTCACTATGAGTCGGTACCGATTCGATGTCACCTAATAACAACAATAATGGTTAGTAGGAGTCCTGGGGTGGTGCTGTGAGTTAATGCGTCAGACTGCAAAGCCATTTGAACTGCAAGGTCAGTGGTTCAATCTCACCTGCCACTCCTTGGAACCCCTACACAGAGTCACTATGGGTAGAAACTGACTTGACAGCACTTAACAACAACAACAATGGTTAACCCTAGTATGGCGCTGTGGGTTAATACCCTGGACAGCAAGGTTGGTTTAAACTACAAGGTCTATGGTTCAAGCTCACCAGCCATTCCTCGGAAACCCTACACAGGGTCACTATGAGTTGGAACCAACTCGACGACAATTAACAACAACAACAGTAGTTAATAAAGAGTCCTGGTATGTATGGTGCTGTATGATAAGCATTGGACTGTTAATCACAAGGTGAGCAGTTCAAACCGACCAGCCACTCCTCAGAAACCCTATACTGGGTTCCTATGAGTCTGATCAGATTCAATGGCACTTAACAATACAATGGTTCATAATGGCAGCACGTCTTCATGTGCTTGTTAGTAATCTGAAAGTCTTTGGTGAAGTGCCTATTCATGTTACTTGCCCATTTAAAAAAATTGGATTGTTTACTTTTTTGTTGTTAATGTGCTGAAGTTTTGTATATATTTTAGAGATTAGACTCCTGTCAGATGTCATTACCAAAAAAAAAAAAAAAAAAAAGTTTCCAGTCTGTAAGTTCTCTTTCACTCTTTTGGTACCAACTTTTGATGAGCATAGTATTTAATTTTAGGAGCTGCATGTTATCTACTTTGTTTTCTGTACGTACATCTTCAGATTGATAATATATTCCTAGCTTTGACCTTATGTTATCTTCCAGAAACTTGATAGTTTTAGGTTTAACATTTAAGTTTTTATCCATTTTGAACTAGTTTTTGTGTAACATGTGAGGTTTGAATCTTGTTTTATTTTTTTTTTTGCCAACACTATTTACTGAAGAAACTCTCTTCTCCATTGAATGGACTTCAACCCTTTGCCAAAAATCAGTTGTTCCTAACTGGATAGATTTTCTTCTAAATTATGTTCCATTGGTCTATGTGTCAGTCACTGTATCACTATCTGGCTCTTTTGGCTAAGAAGGCTATATAGTAAGTTCTGAGATGGGAAAATGTAAGGCCTTTTACTTTGTTCCTCCATAATGCTTTACCTACTCAGGGTGTGTTTCCTCTCCAGAAAAATTTGGAGGTTAGGTTTTCCATTTCATTAAAGAGCATTTTCGGGATTTGGATAGAAATTGAATTATATATGTAGATTGTTTTTAGGAGTTTTGCCATTATCTAACAGTTCAGGAGTGTGGTATATTTCTCACTTTGTGAATGTCTTGCAGTATTGTTTTGTAGTTTTATTTGTATAGATCTTTTATGTCCTTGGTTAGATTTATTCCTAGCTATTTTATCCTTTATTGAGCTATTTTATATGGTATTATTTTCTTGATTTCC